ATTTTAATGTACATTTTATGCATTGGGCACGCGCACGTGCTTGTAAGTCCTTGCGTTCAATTTTGATAGAAGTATATTGCAGAAATTCACTTTACATATTCACATATTCTAAATTTCATCCTGTTTTCTTGGAAACCAAGTAGGTTATAAGCATTCAAATTTAAGCCAATCAACTCACGTGCATGTGCATGCTTTTAGGCTGAATTATTAAGAAAACAACTCATCCAACTTTCAAGTAGTTACAGAGAAAGCAATCAGAAGTGTAAAGCAATCAGAAGTGTAAAAATTTAACGCACGGCGCACAGCGCACGACGGACGACGCACAACGACGGACAACAACGGATATGCATATCAATTGTAAAGAAAGAACAAGGTTCACTTTTGCCTTATTTGGCCCTGTGAATTTCTGAAAAACTGAAACTGCATAGTTTTAGTTAACAATGCATTAAATATCACTTAGATCTTTGGTGACTGCGTATCTATCAAAAATGACGTCATTTTCTGGCTAGTCAATGCATTATGACGTCACGAAATGCGTCAATTTCCTCATATTCTGAAAAAGTATATAAAAAAACGGACAATTTTTAAAGTTATTTTTTGATATTTTATATAGAGCGCAACCTCTGATCTAAAATATGCAACTAGTAAATGATACAACTGTTTCTGAGGATTAATTGACATGTTTTATTTTTTAGATCAGAGAGTGCGCTTATATTTTTTTTCTTCACTGAAAGTACTCAATTATACCTGTTTACCTAAAAATGCAAGAACATTGCAATTTCATAAAGCCAGTTCTCCTAGACCTGGACTTTTAGAGGAAATTTTTTGATAGGATATGAAAGCACCAAGTCTCTATTTTATTTTAATGCTTCAAATAGAAAATCAAGTGTTGATCAATTAATTGGTAAATCTACACGGCCATTTTATACATACAGTGAACCGACTTCTTTTTTAAGGGATCTTGCAAAATGAAAATACGTTTAAAATAAATCTTTACAGAAAGACTATTATTTGGATTTACTTCTATTTCAGTTGGGGGTGGAATGCCGCAGCCCGTTACAACAACAATTAGCACCCCAGGTATCGCTTTCTTGATATACATATATATGTGCTGTACGCAAAAGACAGAGTTACAACTACGAGTATGTCTTCATTAATGTGAAAGGGGGAAGTAAGCTTCAAATTGACTTTTATCATCTGAGATCCTAAAATCTGACGTTACTTGTACGTGTTGGCAAAAAAATATCGAGTCGCAGGGTTGTCAAGTGCCAAGGATTATACCTGTTTATCTAAAAATGCAAGAACATTGCAATTTCATAAAGCCAGTTCTCCTAGACCTGGACTTTTAGAGGAAATTTTTTGATAGGATATGAAAGCACCAAGTCTCTATTTTATTTTAATGCTTCAAATAGAAAATCAAGTGTTGATCAATTAATTGGTAAATCTACACGGCCATTTTATACATAAAGTGAACCGACTTCTTTTTTAAGGGATCTTGCAAAATGAAAATACGTTTAAAATAAATCTTTACAGAAAGACTATTATTTGGATTTACTTCTATTTCAGTTGGGGGTGGAATGCCGCAGCCCGTTACAACAACAATTAGCACCCCAGGTATCGCTTTCTTGATATACATATATATGTGCTGTACGCAAAAGACAGAGTTACAACTACGAGTATGTCTTCATTAATGTGAAAGGGGGAAGTAAGCTTCAAATTGACTTTTATCATCTGAGATCCTAAAATCTGACGTTACTTGTACGTGTTGGCAAAAAAATATCGAGTCGCAGGGTTGTCAAGTGCCAAGGATTATACCTGTTTACCTAAAAATGCAAGAACATTGCAATTTCATAAAGCCAGTTCTCCTAGACCTGGACTTTTAGAGGAAATTTTTTGATAGGATATGAAAGCACCAAGTCTCTATTTTATTTTAATGCTTCAAATAGAAAATCAAGTGTTGATCAATTAATTGGTAAATCTACACGGCCATTTTATACATAAAGTGAACCGACTTCTTTTTTAAGGGATCTTGCAAAATGAAAATACGTTTAAAATAAATCTTTACAGAAAGACTATTATTTGGATTTACTTCTATTTCAGTTGGGGGTGGAATGCCGCAGCCCGTTACAACAACAATTAGCACCCCAGGTATCGCTTTCTTGATATACATATATATGTGCTGTACGCAAAAGACAGAGTTACAACTACGAGTATGTCTTCATTAATGTGAAAGGGGGAAGTAAGCTTCAAATTGACTTTTATCATCTGAGATCCTAAAATCTGACGTTACTTGTACGTGTTGGCAAAAAAATATCGAGTCGCAGGGTTGTCAAGTGCCAAGGATGGTAAGTTTAATTTCACATGCCAGGGTTGGAGCAGCAAAGACCCCTGGGTGTTTTTTATACTGTATATACACGACGATGTTGAAATCGAAATCCTTCGCTACATACTTCCACCTTTGCGTATTAGTGAAAATTGAATATTGGAATATGACGAGTAACAACAGACATACAATTAATCTAACTGGCTCCAGTGTTTCTTTGTTTCTGACAATTTTAGTCCATATTCCAAGTATCTACATCTCCATGTAGGTTTCCGAATTAAATAACATATTTTTTTGCAAAGGATTCATTCGGGATAACCCCTGAAATTTATGTTCTTATTCCTGACTTGTCAGGGTATTTTGATAAAGTTCTAATCCAATGCCAACAATATACATTGTAAAGACTTTTTCTGTGATCCTTCGAACCTTTGAAGCTTTATGATTAATAGCATATGCGATTTACAAAGAAGACTGTATTTGTGTATTCTGTCATATTTTTCAAATTCAAAACTGCTCGTCGAATGAATAAAATGCCTAATTTGGTGAGTTGTTTGGAAATTTCTTGGATTTCTGTAATATCTCTCTTTTTATTTAACTTTATATTCATATCCGAATTCGGTGTATATATCTTTAACGATGTATTTAATGATCTTATCTAAACGTTTTAAATCTATACTGATATTTTCAAACTTTTCTATATTTAATAAAAAGCTGCAAAAATCGGATCGCAGTGCTGGTTAAAATTCAGTAATTTACAAACAATACAACAAATAAAGTCTGAAGGCATATTTTCTGTAACGTGGAGCAAAAACGGAAAATACCAAGATGCATAAATCAATAATTTCCATATATTTTTTTCAATCTTAAAATTATGGCTTAATATTTAGCTTCGTTGAGAATAAATCAATTTGAAAAGATAGGTAGTCTTCATTGAAAACGACAAAATGATGACGTTGTAAAACATCATGGAGCAGCGATTACGATGTATTTTTTTGTTATAACCGGGGCACATCCTGAAAAAAGTTTTTAAAATATTTGAGGAATCAGAAAATATGTCACAAACAAGTAGTACTTGTGTGTTTTGATACACGCAGTATTTGAGTGAAAGAGACTGTACATTTTACGGACGAATACAATCTGTGAAAAACGGTTTATTTGTAAAACTCTGAACTTAACCTTTTGAAAGTTGAAACGTCATGGAAAATTACTGATCATGTGAAAGCACGATTAAGCAGTAAAAGAAACAAAACATTGACAAAGGAAATTGTACAACGGGAACAATTATTCGAAAAATGTGTCAAATGATAGAAGAGTTTTTTTATAATGAGTGGGTACTGAATGAAATGTAAGGGAAAGTGTTTTTCAAACTTTCTTGACGCTATGTGTTGACGTTAAATTTTTATTCAATTCGCCACGTGCTTTCAAAATATGATGATTTAACAATGAAAGAAATTGATTTCTATTTCATGGAATGGAATGATACTTCACACATCAACGAAACTAATATTTTGCACGTGATATCTTATTTCTAATTTCTCGAAAGTACAAGGGCTGTTCAATAGATAATGTCCTCGGTGCTCAGAAAGAAGCAAACGACGCTTTCCAATGATTTAGTCTCCATGATTTTACTTATTAATCTCCTTTAAATTATTCACATGTCCGTAACATTTTTTATCCAATTTCTGGTTGCTTTTAGAACTCATTTTTGGGTATGACCCTTAGTATACTGGAAAATGGCAGATCCAATGTTTTCCTGGACTTTTTTTTTCCTTCTAAAAGGTGTTTCTTCAAGTTTGGAAATAGAAACAAGTCAAAAGATCTGGCAAATATTGTTATTGTGAAAAAACATTAACTTTCTGTTCATCCCGAAGACCCCTTTACTCTTCAGGCCATGCCGGTTTGGACGCTGTCATGAAGAAATTCAATGTAGTGGATTCCTGATTCTGGGTGCTTCCTCTAATAAACCTTTCGATTTTTTTGCAAAAAATTGCTTTCTAGACTCCTTCACATATCAAACTCTCTCCCTGAATACGAATTTGAACAACAATACCACTAATATTTAAGAAAATTTCATATAAATCTGTCATTGTGCTCTTGCATACCTTAGCTTTTGTCAGACCTTCGCCGTTTTTATCAAGTACATCTTATAGTAAATTTTGTTTTGATGATTTTAAGCAATAAATTCATGTTCCAATATCTGTTTGAATACAAAGCAAACGTGGATAACTACAATTACTGACATTTTAAAATAATTGTTAAAACTTTCGTACACGCTGTCGTTTTCACTCAATTTTCAAAATATAGGGTGACCTTTGAGTACCAAGCTTTTTTTACTGTCAAACGTTTCTTAGAAACAGTATAAATTACTCCCGATATGATGTTTATCAAACTTTTTATGTATCTTAAAGTCAATCATACATCATCAAATATTATTTGTTGAAATTTGGCAAACAGTACATAAGTTGTTTTTAATTTTGGTTGGCAAGGAGGGTACCCATTTTTGATGCCCATTATATTATACACTTATCCACTGGTTGTGAGTGGGATAGCTCTTTTATCAAATCCGCGACAGGGAACTATTCACCGAGGGCTTGCCCGAGGGGAATAGTTCCTGTCAAGGGTTTGATAAAAGAGCTATCCCACTTACAAACAGTGGATAAGTGTTTTATTATTGTAATGTTACCACACCCGATCAATCCGGAAATTTTATGTCCATCTTTATTTACTTTCATTTTTGTTTGTATAACGGCATTTCCGGAAGTCTGCACGAGGTTCATGCACTCAAATTTATCAACGAAACTTCTTGTTATATAGCGGCAACCATGTAAGTTTTATAATTGAAATTGTCTGAATATTAGATTATTTTGTTTGCAGTTTACTATGCAATCATTTTATTGTGCATGTCATAAGTATTTTTGTTTATGCTGTACTTGCAACTCGCAGTCGATGCTATTTTTAGATTTAAAATCCACAAGCTGTTAGAAAGTCAGTTTAAAGTTAAATTTTACAAAATTTTGTATGATATTTGAGTAGAACAAGTTGATAATGTGTTGCTTAACTATTGATGGTGTATAAGAATTTACAGTAGAATCTCAAATATAAGTTTTGAATGTCAGAATTAATTTGTGTAATGTTTACCTATGAATCTACATAAGTTTCTTGGAATTTTTTTGATTTATATTACCTGAAGTTGTGAACCTACATGAATTATTTTGTATTTTTATTTTGTGTAGCTTTCACAGAATGTCTCACAAGAGAACCATATATGATGTCTGCTCCAGACCCTTGAATTTGAATAAAATCTTAATTGAATTAAACCTTTGAGGCATTTTGTAAACTGAAACAAAACAGTGAAAGATGGCTTCTTCAACTAGGACAACATCTTCCAGATCACGAGCGAGTACGGCTAAGTCGGACCTGTATCTACAACAAAAAATGAAAAAAGAAACCGCAAAAAAGAAAATTGATTATGTCCAGAAGGAAAGCGAACTTGTATGCCAGAGGGCCAAAATAGAAGCTGATGCCCTGATCCAAAAGGCTAAAATAGAGACACAGTTAATGCGGATAAAAGCAGAAGAGGACTCGGAAGTCACAGAAATTAGTATGAAGATTCTTGAGGAGGAGCTTCAAGATATATGCAGTTGTTCTGATAACGAAAGTGAATTTGGTGACTGGATTGCATCACACACAAAGCGTTATGTAGAAAACTCACACATAGAAGCAGATAGACTTTTGACACCAGAACCGGCTATACCTCCAATTAGAACGCCATTCGTTGGAACGAGACCTGAATTTCCGAACACCGTTACACCACCACCCACCTCACAGACACCTGCTGCCCCACCAGACAGCATACTGAACCCTTGTGCTCGACTCTTTGTTCCTGAGAAATTTGTGTCACAATCGAGTGCGTGTGAGCCGAACAAGCAAAGCGGAATCAACCAGGCTCTTATGGATATGACAAACTTTTTGACCAAGAAAAGCTTCATATTGGAAAGAGTTAAACCATTCGTTGGCGACTCGGAGTCTTACCTAGCATGGAAATCTACATTCCAGGAAGTCATGAAGGAAATTGATGCATCCCCATCTATTGAACTGGACTTAATGATAAAAAATCTTGAAGGAAAACCATATGAGCAAGTGAAGAGCATAAAGAACTCAAATACCGGTGACTCTACTTTGGGAGTACAGAAAGCGTGGGAAAGATTGGATTCGTTTTACGGCAGCCCAGATCGTATTGCGAGAGCTTTGAAGAGAAAGTTAAGTGATGTTTTGGAGAAATTTGACTTCAACAACAGGCCTGACTACTTTTGTCTCTCAGACACACTGAATGAAATAAATGCTGTCAAAGACAATCCCAAGTACAGTAAGACATTGAGTTATTTTGACACATCAGATGGAGTCAAACCGGTGTTACTCAAACTTCCCATACATGTCCAGAACAAGTGGCGTGACAAGGCAATACAATACAAGAAAAACAATGATGTAGTGTATCCACCGTTTTGTGTATTTTGTACCTTCGTCCAAGAAATGGCCTATGTGATGAATGACCCAGGATTTGACTTTGAATTTAAACCGATTCACTTAGCACCGAAGACAAAATCGAACAAACAATTTCACAGACAGACTGTCACTTCCAACAAAACAGATGTGTTACAAGACGAGAGTCAGGCAAAAGTGCGTTGTGCTGTCCACAATTCTGCACACTCCACGAGTGACTGCAATGTTTTCCGCACAAAGAGTATCGGTGAAAAGAGGGACGTCTTAAGGAGACATGGTCAGTGTTTTAAGTGTTGTGATGGCAAACATTTGTCTAATGACTGCCGTGTGAAAGTGAAATGTGACACTTGTGGTAGCAGACATCATTGCACTGCCATGCATTTTGACACATCAAACAGACCCGCCCAGAATCATGGCGGGGAGAAACTAGCCAGTGAAAAACCAGCTTTTCATCGTCAGACGGCTGAGACGACCACACACTTAAACGCAGCATGTACAGAAATTTGTGGGGATTTCAGAGGCAAATCATGTGCTAAGATTGTACTGGTCAGCATTCACCATAAGCACAGCGAACACCCACCAGTTAATGTGTACGCCATTCTTGACGAGCAGAGTAACAAGTCACTGGCAAAACCTGAACTTTTTGAAATGTTTGACCCAAACAGTACTTGTGAATCTTACAAACTCTCTACTTGCAGCGGATCATCTTTAGTCAGTGGCAGACGCTCTCATGGCTTTGTGATTAACTCGATGGACAGACAAACTACTTTCAGTTTACCTACCTTAATTGAATGTAGTGCAATACCGAACAATCGTCACGAAATCCCAACTTGTGATGTAGCCATTCATCACCCTCATCTTGCTGAGATATCGAGCTTTATTTCACTTATGGACCATACGGCAAATATATCACTACTGATTGGCAGGGATCTCTTGGGCGCACATTATGTCCTTGACCAGATAAGAGGTGATCCCTCTCAACCATATGCTCAACGGCTACCATTAGGCTGGGTTGTCATAGGAGAGACGTGCTTAGATGGAATCCATACACCGAAATCTGTTGATGTTATGAAAACCATGTGCTCGAATTCCGAACACCCATCTCAAGGCATCTGGATACCATGTGATCAAAAGATGCACATAACAGAATGTATTGAAAACCAGTCAGTGTTTAGAAGAACCACAACAGACAATCAACCATCATTGTCAGTTGAGGACCGCTTATTCTTGACTCAGATGGACAATGATATGAAAAAGGACTCTTCGGGGCATTGGAGTGCTCCATTACCCTTTAAAAGGACACGACCTACTTTACCAAACAACCGACGACAAGCTTTGGATCGAGCAGTCAGCCTTGACAAGAGTTTGATGAAGAACCCTACTAAGAAAACTCATTTTCTTGAATTCATGAGGAACCTTTTTGAAGCCGGCCACATCGAGTTGGCACCACAGCTCCCACCAAACACTGAGTGCTGGTACTTACCTTTGTTTGGGGTCTACCACCCCCAGAAGAGAGACAAAATCCGTGGAGTTTTCGACTCTTCTGCGAAGTGCGACGGAGTATCACTCAACGATGTCCTAATGACTGGACCAGATTTAATGAACAATCTTATTGGTGTGTTGCTAAGATTCAGGAGAGAATCTGTAGCAATAGTTGCAGACATCGAACAGATGTTTTACAGTTTCTTAGTGGATATTGAACACAGACGTTACTTGAGATTCATTTGGCACAAAGACAATAACTTTGATGAACCTTTGGTTGACTACCAAATGAAAGTACACGTTTTTGGTAATAGTCCCTCCCCTGCGGTGGCGACCTATGGATTACGTCGTACGGCTGACGAAGCAGAGGAACAATATGGCTCGGACATGAAGGAATTCGTGCATCGCAATTTCTACGTGGATGATGCTCTTTCCTCTCATTCATCTACAGAGGACGCAATTGACCTACTTAAGCGCACACAGAAGGCTTTGATGGAACATGGCTGCTTGAGACTACATAAGATAGCATCCAATTCTGGTGAGGTTTTAGCAGCCTTCAGTTCTCAGGATCTGGCAAAGGACCTGAAAGACACAGAACTCTGGGCAGATGACCTACCAACACAGAGAAGTTTAGGCATCTGTTGGAACCTTCAACATGACTACTTCACATTCAAAGTAAACATGGAGGACAAACCATTCACAAGACGTGGCGTCCTTTCCTCCATCAACAGTCTCTTTGATCCACTTGGTTTTGTTGCGCCAGTGACGATTGCTGGAAAGGCTATTCTATGTGAAGCCATGACAAGTGGATTAGACTGGGATGAACCTTTGCCACCTGACTTTCTCCAGAAGTGGACCGTTTGGAAATCATCATTGAAGGACTTAGAACATTTGCAGATTCCACGTACCTTTAGTGAGATGTCTGTTAGTAAAGCAAATTACAAGGAATTACTGATATTCTCGGACGCTTCCACTATGGTCATTGCAGCTGTCGCGTTCCTTAGACAAGTTTCTGACACAAGGAAGGAACAGCTTGGGTTCATCATGGGGAAAGCTAAACTGGCACCTAAGCATGGTCACACTGTGCCGAGACTGGAATTGTGCGCGGCTGTCATGGCAACTGAACTATATGAACTTATCGCTGCAGAGATTGACACCAACCTTGACTCAGTTAGATTTTTTACAGACAGTAAAGTAGTTTTGGGCTATATAAGAAATGAAACCAAACGTTTTTTCACCTATGTGGCCAATCGTGTTGAAAGAATACGCAAATCAAGTGAACCTAAGGACTGGAATTACATTCCGACAAAAATGAATCCAGCAGACGAAGGCACGCGATCTGTAGCAGCGAAGGAGATGCAAGCCAGCCTCTGGTTGAATGGTCTGAGTAAACTTCTTGATAGCAGTGAAAATGAACATTATGACCTTGACATTGATTGCGATCCAGAGGTCAGATCATGTAAGACAGAATTACAGAGCATTTGTCATCTAGGCTCCCATCGCTTTGAAAGGTTTTCCGATTGGCTGCGACTGACCAGAGCTATTTGCTTCATACAGAACATTATACGCAAGTGGAAACAGTCAAAATATGATGAAGATGAAGATCAAGAACCGCTTACCTTGAAAGAAGCTGAACTTCTTATCATCCGTGAGATTCAGGATGAGAAATTTCCTGAAGAAATCAAAGCTCTCAAGGCAGGCAGAATAGTAAACAAGAGTAGTCCAATTTTCAATCTGGACCCATATTTGGACGAAGATGATTTACTTAGAGTGGGAGGCAGACTTCGTCACTCCAACTTGACCTCTCAAGAGAAGAATCCACTAATCGTTCCGAAAAAGAGCCACATTGCCAATTTGCTTGTGGACCACTTTCACAGAGAAGTGAAACATCAAGGACGCTTGTTCACAGAAGGGGCAATAAGAAGCGCAGGGTTTTGGATCGTAGGATGTCGCCGCCTTGTGAACTCTCATATACAGAAGTGTGTATCATGTAGAAAGCTGCGAGGCAAACAACAACAACCCAAAATGGCTGACCTTTTTGAGGCACATCTTCATCCGGCACCCCCGTTTACACACATTGGAGTGGATGTGTTTGGACCTTGGTCCATTGTTAACAGAAAGACACGAGGAGGTCAAGCTCAAGCTAAGAGATGGGCTGTGATTTTTACCTGTTTGGTCATTCGCGCAATCCATATCGAGGTAATTGAGGAATTGAGCACCTCTAGCTTCATCAACGCTTTACGTCGTCTTACAGCCCTTAGAGGTGAAGTGCGCACAATTTGCTCCGATCGTGGTACAAACTTTATTGGAGCCACTTCAGAAATGAACGTCAACATGATTGACATTAAAGATGCACCGCTAAAGGACTTCATGGAAAGGAGAGGAATTCAGTGGAAGTTTAACCCCCCACATGCCTCACACATGGGTGGGGCTTGGGAGCGGCTGATAGGTGTCTCGAGGAAGATTTTGGATTCTCTACTGACAGATCCAAAAGTGACAAGACTCTCTCATGAAGTATTAGTGACTTTGATGGCAGAGGTGTGCTCTATCGTCAATGCACGCCCTCTGAATGGGGTCACATATGACCCAGATTTACCCTATCCTTTGTCCCCTGCAACATTACTCACCTTGAAAACAAGACACACAGTGGATTCTTTTGACCTGGAAGAGTTTTCAACAAAGGATTTGATGAAGGATCAGTGGCGCTGTGTTCAACAGCTTTCAAATTGTTTCTGGAAACGGTGGAACATGGAGTATCTGTCTTTACTCCAACAGCGGAAGAAATGGCAACAAGACGAAAGAAATCTTCAAGTCGGTGATGTCGTCCTTCTTCGTGACAAGACACTTCATCGCAAAGACTGGCCAATGGGAATTGTTGAGAACACTTACCCTAGTGATGATGCGCGTGTCCGTAAAATAGAAGTTCGCATTGGCATGGACAGAAAGATTTTCAAACGCCCGGCGACAGAAGTTGTACTTCTCGTACCAAACAAACAGTAGTGTGAACGTGTCGTGAGAGGACATTTGATGGGAATGTTTGTAAAGCACAGTGTACTGTATCTTTTATTGTGTATTATTGTTATTTTGAACACTGATATTATTTGGTAGAGTTACCTCATTTTAGTTTGTTTAGTTTAAATATTGGTGATATTATCATATCAGACGGGGAGTGTAATGTTACCACACCCGATCAATCCGGAAATTTTATGTCCATCTTTATTTACTTTCATTTTTGTTTGTATAACGGCATTTCCGGAAGTCTGCACGAGGTTCATGCACTCAAATTTATCAACGAAACTTCTTGTTATATAGCGGCAACCATGTAAGTTTTATAATTGAAATTGTCTGAATATTAGATTATTTTGTTTGCAGTTTACTATGCAATCATTTTATTGTGCATGTCATAAGTATTTTTGTTTATGCTGTACTTGCAACTCGCAGTCGATGCTATTTTTAGATAAATCCACAAGCTGTTAGAAAGTCAGTTTAAAGTTAAATTTTACAAAATTTTGTATGATATTTGAGTAGAACAAGTTGATAATGTGTTGCTTAACTATTGATGGTATATAAGAATTTACAGTAGTATCTCAAATATAAGTTTTGAATGTCAGAATTAATTCATGTAATGTTTACCTATGAATCTACATAAGTTTCTTGGAATTTTTTTGATTTATATTACCTGAAGTTGTGAACCTACATGAATTATTTTGTATTTTTATTTTGTGTAGCTTTCACAGAATGTCTCACAAGAGAACCATATATGATGTCTGCTCCAGACCCTTGAATTTGAATAAAATCTTAATTGAATTGAACCTTTGAGGCATTTTGTAAACTGAAACAAAACAATTATACTGATGTATAAAATAATTTCTGAGGTTTGAATTTTTTGAAAGTAAGATAATACTGCAAGAATAATCTGAAATCCTGATGATGTCACAATGCTAATGAAGTCATTATGACATCATCAGTCAATAGATTTATCGCTAAAAATCAAAATTGGAGGCAAAAATTTCATGAAAATTTTCCGAGGGTGGATAGCAAAAACTGTACCCCGGGGTATAGCTTTGCTATGCGTGAACTATAAAAGATAGCTATTTTACCTTCTGAACTTTATATAGGAAACATTTTAACAGAAGTATAATAAAAATTTTTATCATTGAAATCCACCTGCTCATTTGTCTATAAGACAGGCATCGGTTGCTGTAAATGACAAATATTTCAGTGAATATTTCTTTGGGATTTTTAAGTTTTACAGTAGCTTTAATGTAGACTTTATTTTAATTCTAGTTTACTGATTCTTTACCATTCATCTATAATGCAGTGTCTCGAATATCCCTTGTTTCCCAGCTTCTCACGATGAAACTTTGTGATAAAAAGTGGTCACATAAACTGTTATAAATTCTTTAAAGATTCAATAATGAGAGAAGTCAAGATTAATGTCATATGATATCTGTATTGTATGTCATACAGTTCAGGACATTATTTATTGAACAGCCCTCGTAGTATGACGAAGATTAACATTGTTCACGAATTTTTCGAACAGCCCTCGTAAATCAAATATTTTTGTTTAAACATATATTTTTTTATTCAAAGGGGGATATAATATCTTGGTACTTTCTAATTGGAGGTATTTTTTCTTCAGCCTGTACAGACCCTATTCCTCCATGTCAGTGTGAGTATGCACAGAACAAACTTCAGATCTGCTCTGATGGAGATGTGGAGCTTCAGAAATACTGCTGTTTTTATTGTAAGAAAGTCAACAATCCGAATTGGGTGTGCTCTTCGACAGATAGAACATTTTGTGACGCTTATGAAAAGCCATTCGCTCAAGAGTGAGTACTTTTTATGCACAGAAAATATGAAGATAACAAACAGTGACCCATCTCAAAAATCTATAAGCAATGCAAATATGATAAAGGGACATAAAAACACGGAATTCTGAAAATTACAGAAGTGTGTTCAAGTGTCTAGTGTAAACATCCCCTGATAACCATAAAGACTGTCATAGAGCAGTAAATATACGCTTCTTGTTCAAAATATTATTATTTCAGAGTGTTTCTAATCATAATCAGATAATTCCTGTAACTCTGTATCAGGCTCATTTCTCCCTCAAAATATAACATTTATATTATAGATAAGAATCCTTGCAATTGTAAAACATAACATTTTTAAAGCTAACTTATATTCGGGAAATATCTGCGAGTTTCATATTCTACTTTAAATCGGGGAGCGAATATCAATTCCTGTGTATCATTCATTTGCTTGCATTCATATAGAATTGATTTCAAACTGACAGATTGCGAATAAAAAATGAGGCGAATGGGTTTACAGTAGCCTTGATATTTTGTTTTGTTTGTTCTTATTCTATTTTGAGTAGAAATGTTTTTTATATTTTAATTTGGCGATAAGTGTGCTTACAGTAATCATCAAATAACAAATTTCTCATAACTCTGATTTTGACCATTATTTAGTTACATGCTGCTGACTTTTTTGTTTTTTGTTTTTTTTTTCAGAATTATGGGTATAAACATAACCTGTCATCATTAATGTTAATAAAGATAGTTGCAAAAACAAAATACCGAGTTGTCCTTATTTTCGTTAAACGTGAGAATAAAATATACTCAAAGGTTCTTCATCATAAGACATACTTTTAAAAATTCAAAGTGAGAAATTTGTATTTGTTCCTTTGCATAATCATTTTGTACAAATATATATTGTACATAATTATATAGATTATATTGTTTCCAAGTCTTACGTTGAAAAATGGAATGAAAAATATATAAATAATTTGAAATGAGTTGAATTCAAATGTAACGAATAAAAAAACCCCGGATACCAGGATAGATAAAAATCACGATAAAAAGTTTTTTGAACATGGGCTCTTTTAACAAAATTATATCATTAGAATTGGTCAATGTTCTAAAATAAATTATTCATAATATAGTATTCACGACATAGCTGACGATAACTGCAGAAATGTAGCTCTCCGTAAAAAAAATTACAGACGGGAGAGCCACAATTCCACTTATTGAACAAAAATGCATATTAATTTTGCACAAAAATTGCACTTTTTTCTCCATTTATTTCTCCATGTTTTTTTTTAAACTGTAATCTCAAAATATTACTAACCGTGTGCTCCTTAAATATTCTTTCATCGTTTCTACATCAAAAAAATTCTGATAATTGATGTCAATAGCCCTCGAGACCCTGAAACGGAGATCATGGTATATTTTGTCTATCTATATTGCCATTTTGGTTGTAAAATGATTCGGTCCAACGCTCTTCGTACTGATTTCAACTACAAGGGCAGTTGATAAAAGACTAAGGAATTGTTTGAAATCTAACTTTGTTTGCAGTTGAAATAAGAATTTGCTATAATTAATGAATCCAGAATCAAGCGCAAGTCCTTATGCGCAGTAAAGTTTCAGTGGTTAGCAATGTAGCTCTCCGGACTATCAATATATTTCTTTTCGAAGAGTTTCAGTTCTGTAGCTAAATTGACGATATTTCTGTTCTCTTGTAAAATTGTAAATTCATATATATATTTTATTTTTATTTTTCTTACAGTTTTCCACAGATATAACTATGCCAGAAAAACTTTTAAAGTTAAAAAATGAAGAAAAAAAAAATCTGTAAAGAAGCACTTTCTTTTGTCGATAAAAAATTACATGTGAACTTAGGAAGAACAAAGGAAGATCTAGAGATACATATGGTGGATAAATACTTATTTTGCAAAGAATTGCTTATAATAACGACAGAATTTAATCTATATTACCGAATAAAGCATAACGCAAATACATTCTTAATGAAACATATTTGTTTATTTCCGCTTGAATTTATATTCTTGGAATATTTCAGATAAAGATTTATCAGAAGCATTTACCGCCTTCGGTATTTAAAATGATTTATTTTCTATATTGCAATCGTGAACAGATGTTAGATACGCTATTAATACCAATGTAAAACCTTTGTTTAGTGCGATTATTAGCGAGAAAAAGTATTTTATTAAATTAACCGTGTTTATGTGTACAGGTTTGGCATGTTTAGCAAAGAGGTGGCTTATTAAACCACCGTTTAACAAGGGCTTACACTTACTTGTAATAGATGTTATCTTTTTTTGAATATATATTTAAAGGATATGTTCCTTAACCTGAAAAATACTGCTGCTTTCTTTAAATCAAGAGTGTGACTTAATAAGGACATAACATACTTGGTAAAGGTCAAACATATTTCGACATAAGCATATTTACTTGAAATTTTAACTTAAAAAATGCGAATTCTATAAAGCAGCAGCACTTTCTAGAAAATACGAAGTAAGCAGAAATAATGGGTATCTGAAATCTTTAATTCCTACTATGGCATGCCCTTGTGATATTGAAATTTGTTTATGACCTCAATTTAGTACACATACTATGCATTTATCACGTGACTGTCCATTGATGGGACCAAACTTAATTCAGTACAGAGTGGGGTATTCTATATTATTTCAATAAGTATTTAAGTTATGTAAATAAAAGGACTTTATAAAAATAAATTCATTTTTTAAAAGATTCCCGTTTTTTTGCAGGTCTATCTTCCATCGATTTTTTTTATAGTACGCCTTAACAGTCCAGCGCATATTAAAATGCCAAAAAATAGCAATACACAGTGAATTATTCTAACAAAAGCATTGTTCGGTGGAACGCCATTAACTTGGGGATATTTCATTGTGTGTACAAAGTCTTTTATAAGTTTTGACACATCATACCTTTTGGCATCTAAAGAGTTTGTACGTCCATAACATCCAGTTGTTGAACTGTCTGCATTCAAAGGCGGTAGTACATTACAAATTTAATACAGAAAAAACTCCTTCTACAGTCCCCAAAACAATGCAAAATAGGAGCAGAGCAAACACAGACCTCCGGTACATCAGAGGTGGGATCAGCTGCCATGGAGGAGTGAGCATCTCCTGCTGACCGGTGACAACCGCCGTGTGCTCAATTAATTATTTGGTGTTTTTCTTGCAGTGTGATGTAATTCACTTAACTTGGTTTCAAATCCTTCGTGATGCAAACAAAGTGGTATCTGGATAATCTTGAAAATAAATTCTACAACAGTATAATTCATTTTCCCATTCATTCACAGAAAAGAAATTTGAAGCTCCAATTAGATCACTTGAACCTTTAAGGACAGACGAGACGTTCCTTAATAATAGATAAATTTTGTCATTGAGTTTGTCATTGAAGTATTCCTACTTAAACATGTTTACTCACAAAACATTGAGGTACCTTACCAGATATTTCTGCAAAATACCAGGGGTACTTTTTCTTATAAAATTTTTTTGTGAAGAAAAATAATTTTCCAATTTCAAATGTTTAAGTGTTTGGATTTTTTAAAACCGTTTGGAAACTGGTTTAGAAATCAGAATGTTACTAAAATTTTGAATATTTTTCATACATTACGAAGATGTGCAAAACAGATTTTGAGGAACGTCTCGTCTGACCTTAAGAATGGAGTGTACGTTGCAATTAGTTAAGTAACAGACGTTATCCTCACTGAACATGGTGAGGTTCTACTACATAAGATTAAGCATATAATGAAAATTGTGAAATCAGTATAATTGCAACTATAGATAAAATATTTACTCTCATTAATGGATACGTGATATGGCATCGAGAGCCTCTCTTGATATGAACTGCAATTTTAGTAACTTTGCTCATCATGTTCATTTTATATAAAAACAAAAGCATACATTCTCCATAGGAATGACAAAAAGCCTTCCACATGTATTTTACTATTTATGCGGTTGTTGACACTCAAAATCTCACCAACTTTCTTGAAAACATTAATATCTTGCAATCTCTC